AATTTTTTTCATTATAAGGGTTGTCAGGCCTTGGAAGAGCTGTCCAGGGAGCTTTGGAATCCCCAACCCTGGAGCTGTCACCTGGAGGTGGCACTCAGAGCTCTGGGTTGGGGACAAGGTGGGGACGGGTCACAAGTTGGACTCAATGGTCTGAGAGGTGTTTTCCAACCTTAATGATTCTGTGATTCTGTTCTGTGATATTATCTTAGGAAACCCTGGTCTAGAAACTGAGGTAAATGGCAAGAATTCCTCATTATTCCTCCTTTCAGCCCAGCCTCAATGTCCAATCTTCCCTGGGGGATTCATATATAAGACATGGGATGGAAGGAGAGATAAATGGCTGACCTCAATCCCCAGAAGTTTTTGCCTGAAATCTGTTAGCCAAGTCACACAAAGCATTTTTCTTGTATGTGCTGTCACCTTGGTGTTTCTGTCCTTAGTGTCTGCTCCAGGGACTGTGCTTTCTCCTTTTTATCCCCTTTTTCCTTGGTTTCCTCTTCATGCTGAGCTCAGCAACTGCTGTGCTCAAGGAACTCAGTCAGCATCTCTCTTTGGGAAGTGTTAAAACATGCAAGATCCACTTCCTGGGACTCAGAAGTCCTAACATCACCCTTTCCTTTCCTGTCACCAATTTCCTTGTTCATGGGGAGTCAATCTTTGCACCCTCTCCAAACACATCAATATCCTGTCCCCTCATTGTGCCATGGGGGATTTTGCCTGCCAATCAAATTCATTATTAAGATTGTTCTGAAAAATGGGGAAATGCTGGAACAACTGAGACAGGCAGCTCTGAACTCCTCCACAGCAGGAGAGCCCAACATTTGGTCCAAAAATCTCACACCACCTGCACAGACCAATGGTTGAGGAGCAAACACAGCACAGCCCACCACGTCATTTCCTCTGTTTAGTACTCTTGTAAATTATATGCACATCTGAGATTTTCTTTAAAATTAATTTATAAATTAATTTATAAATTACTTGTTCATCTTGAGATTTTCTCTGCAGATGGACTACCAGGAAAAACACAGAAAGGAGGCAGAATCATGGGGAACAACAGGTCTGTGCTCACAATCCTGCTCTTCACTTTGTAAGGCAGGGACATTTTCTCTGCCTTGTTTTTCAATATTTCACTGACTGGCCCCCAAACTTAAAGGACAAAATAGGGCTTTATAAAAATATCTCTGAGGGACTGGTTAATGTATCCCAAATGCAATTGCACTAGAGATAATTTAAATTCTATCATTGTGTAATTCAAAGTATTCAAGTTGAAGGAAATCTTTTCCCTTGTCCTTCCACAAAACAACAACAAAAATTAACAGCAGATGGTTTGCAAACTATCAGTCATTTCAATAGTCATTCAAAGTCTGTTTTAATCCTTTCACATATGATTTTTATCATTTTTCCTTCCACTTACAGTTACATCTTTCCTAGTTATTTCAGCATTTCCCATTCCAGCCAATAGCCAGAAGTGAAGATACAACTGTAGTCTTGACTTGTACAGAGGGTTTGGTTCAGATTGCTGTAAAAATAATATTTATAGCCAAGGAGGGAAAGGGAAAACCCCAACATTTTACTTGGGCCAGATAAGTAATTTAAAACTATTTTTCTCTATTTAGAGATACAGGCTTAAGATAGCAGCCTACAGGTAATGGGATTGATGCCTCCTAACCAGTGATTTTCCCAGCACTTCGTTCTCAACAAACAGGTTTGATATTTTCTGTTTACTTTGTGTTTTATATTAATTGATCCCCCACATTAGAAAGAACATCCCCCTGAGGTTTCCTCCATTTTCAGCTTGTCAAACATTGTTCTGCTTTCACGCACACTCTCCTCACTCCTTCAACACTTTACACCAGGCCTGTACATTCCAATTTATTCCAGCTCTGTGTTATGTTAAAACATCTTGTTTTCAGCATCATAATGATATCTCCAAGGAGAACATGATTTAAAGGCTGTTTTGTGCATGAAAAGATTGTGCAAATTAAGTTTCATGAGTCTCAGAAAAGCAGAATTAGTTTTCAACAGTTGAATTAAACAGAAATTACAAAAAAGGAGTCCTTAATTGCTCGTTTTACAAAAATCTTCATCTTGCACTGCTTAGTGTCTTTTAAACATGTACACTCCAAAGCTGAGTGAAATCTCAATGTATTCACACCAAACTTTCTTTCTTCATTTCGCTTTCCTCCTTTCCAGCTCACTAGTTCTTCTGGAAATAGGTCTGAGATATTTCAAAATCAAGAATATGGTTGAAAATACTGAAAGTCATCACAACTCTCAGAAGACATCACTGGCAAACTGTGAATCCAGAAAGGGCTGGTGGATTCACAAAGACTTTACAATTTATTTGATGTCCGAGGGCATCAAACTCTAGGGCATGTCTAATGGGAAACAAATTTTTTTACTCCCCTAAGATTTGAGGAGGAAAGTCAGGCAGGGTTTGATTAAACCAAAGGACAGCAGAGAACTCTTAGAAAACTTTTGGGTTTACCTCTGTTGTATTGGCAGAAAGAAGATGTCTTTTTAAAAAAAGCATTTCTTCTTACAGGTAAAACCACAATAGAATTTTAAAATTTCAAAGAGAATTCAGAATGAAAGTAAATATTTTTTTTGTTTCAGAGGGCTGAAAAAAAGATTCCTGTGACTTTATTTCCCTCTTCCAAATGTACATGTTTTCAGGAGAAATAAGGACACAATCACCTCTGTACAGTGTGCAACACCCTCAACTAGGAGCTATTAAAAAAGCAGAACAGCTCTATGGGATAGATACAACCACCAAATGAAATGATGAAACAAATAATTCTTCTGTGTAAATATAGACATCCTGTCTACCTCAGACAACCCTTCCACATGGAAAATGGAAAGACAGAATTAAGTAGATGAAAACAAATCTGGAGATGGAGAAAAATGAGAGTTTCAAAATAAGTTATCAGAGAAATTGCAGACTTGCAGTTGTGTCTTTTTTGTATTACGGTTTTTTTGTGGGGCTTTTTGGGTTGGTTTTTTTTTTGGTTGGTTGGTTGGTTTTGGTTTTTGTTATTGTTGTTGTGTGAAATAAACTACTTGGTTTTATCAAAGGATAATTTTCCCAACAAAACTTTTACCAAATTTGCCCAAACACAGCCATTGCCAAATTTATTCCACAGGATTCTTATTCTATAAAACAAGTGACACACTCAGGATGTGCTTGTACTGACAATGACTTCTATTTGCCAGGTAGATTTAGGGCCTCATTGATATAAATGACTAAATGAACAATAAATTTAGAAGGATGAGTCTTCACCCAAAGTTTTACTGTTTCTTGGTATTCGATAGCTGTAGTTAAGCCAATTCAGGAAGAAATTCTTTATGGAAAGGTTTGTCAGGAAGGTAAAATCACCACCCTTGGAGATCAGTCAAAGATGATCTTTGAGATGTTTTCCAACCTGAATGATTCTGTGATTCCATAATGGCTTGATCCTGCAGATTTCTATGTGGGTGAGTGACTGTACTTGCTGCGAGATCTCTCACAGATAAATAAAAATCCCATTTGTAGGGTTTGAAACCAGAAGGCAAACTGCACCTTGGGGCAACACCACCATGGTAGGAAACCATCCTACAGCTTGGATTACTTGTGAGCTCTGCAGTCTTAGAGCCCTGTCTGATGTTTGACCCGAGGGAGGGCTCTGATCCAAAGGGCAGCCCTGGTGTAAAAACAAAATTATTGTGTGCAGAAAATGCAGCTGAGGAGAGAAATCTTTGCATGCTGTCACAGCTTCCAGTTATGGCTCTGGGACAGAGTCACTTGGGATCTTTGCCAAGTGACCAGCCAAAGGCAAAATTCAGATTTAGACCCATGTGAAACTCATGGATGGCCCATGCCATAGCAAAGTCTGGATATATTTTAATTTGGCCACATTAGACATAACTCATTAAATCATTGCTGCCTACAGAAAAATGGCCTTTTATTTCTGTTGATGTCAGTACTTTGGGTTTGTTTTCCCTTTTCCAGCCCAATGGTGAATCATCTCTTTTTATTCACAAGACATGACTAAGGTAATAGTTATTGCTGGTCTAGGTTATCAATAAATGAAACTTTAGACCAGCCTTGATCTGTTATTAGTTTCTGCACATTCTTAAAGGACTGGAATCAAAATAGAGACTCCAACATCAAAAACCACCCTACTTATAATGACACAAGATTCCTTAAAGTTTTTACACAAGGTCTAATTTTCTTTCACATTGTTTTATGTACTGGTGATTACGCTGAGATAAAATTCAATGATGAAAAGAAAAATTATTTATCTCAAAGTATAAAACACTCTTGGAATTGAAGGAAGTCAAGCTCTAACTTGAAGAGGAGAAATTATTTCTTTGCCTTGCCTTCCACTGGAGCATCTCCTGCTTCCCCACATCTATCCCAACAGCTGTGTTCCAGCTGTGACCTCACCAGCACCCGCTAGAGGAAGAAAATAACTTCCCTCCCTCAGCTGACCATGGTCCTCCTAACACAACTCAAAATTTACTTTTCTTTATTCACAGTGGAATTTCAATTTGGAGTTCAAGGTCTTTTTGTTAGGAAAGAATGGATTTTGCTGTGTCCACCTCAGTAAATGCTCTATGGTTAAAAAGTCATACAGTAAAAAACCTTTTGTATATTTCCTTTTACTAATTTAGGATGATTTTTTTCTTTTTTCATGATTGGAGTTGATTTAGAATAATTTAGTTAATTTTGATTTGAATTATTGATAATGGTGGTTTCCCTGTGCACCATAACTCTGCTTTAACAGCCCCTGTGCAAACACCAAACAAAAAATCATGCCCATAATAGAATTTAATTCAGCTTCAGGATTCTGCTTCACAGTACCATGCTGGCCATTCTCAACCATCTTCTTCTGACTTTTCATGTCCAGATTCACTGATTTTCTGTAATATAATGGCCTTTGATCCTATAACATCAGCTTTAACATAAGGTATTTCCTTTTAGACGCAGAGTTTATAGCATCAGTTCATTGGTCATTCGTACCACTTAGGAGTCTGTTTGCTTCAGTAAAATTATTCCTCATTTAAGAAAAAAAAAATTAATAGCAGAGTAGTGCATCAGTGGACCAGGTTTTCCAAGCAGGTATGAAATCCCAACATCCAATTATCATCCATTTGCAGATTTATTCCTTTGGAAAAGTGTCCTTAGGGTTCTTTGTGGAAAGCACCATAAAAATAATTTTTGTTTTCTTATAAGTCTGTACAATTCCCTTTTATGGCATAGAAAATTTCAATGTTCAGGAACCATTTTGCAGAAAACTAATTTGCAGTTATAATTTATCCCCATATTGCCATCCAAGATTGCACTTAGGAAGACAAATAGAACAGAATGAACTATAAATTTTCCTCCTCGTTATGAATGATCAGGATCCTGCAAAGGCATTATGCCTGATATAACTATGTTAAATATCATCTTTCACTAGTGAATTTAAGCAAGTTTGGTTTTATAAAAAGCGAGCTGAAAATATTTTTGTGATCATGGAAGATCTCAAATTTTCCTGGGAAGGAGAAAATGGGCAAGATGGCAAAAATTATGGGAATAACAGCACTTCTTGAGAGGTATTGCTGACCACCTGCTGTACTGAATGGATGAGAAACAAGCTGTACAACATATTTCACAATTGTTTCTATTTGGGCCTTTCTTCTTCTTTTTATTTCCCCAAATGAAAGGAAATAAAAAATGCTACAAGAGCATTTACATTAACAAAAATAATTATAGCCTAGGAAACATTTTTAAATTGAGGTAATTGCTTTTTATGACCTGCTGCTGACTGTGATTCTACTCAGGTTTTGCTCATTTTTTTTCCTCAAAATATTTTGTTACTCCATTTTGGGGTTTTGGTCCAACAGACATAAAAAACTTTATGTCTGTTCTTTCCAAGGAGGACTCTCTGAGGTTTTGTATATTAATTTAAAAAGCTCTTCCCTTTGGACAGATACCCTACAAATATTTTCAAACACAGATTTTGAAAGCTTTTCTTTATAAAAGTTTTTAAGAGAAGTTAGAGATATCCAGAGAAGAACCCTTCATAGGGTACTGGAGGGCCAGCATGAGGGGGAATGGATCACACTGGCAGAAAGTAGGGTTAAATTGGAAATTAGGAAGAATTTATTTACTGTGAGGGTGGTGAGGCCCTGGCATGAGTTGCCCAGAAAAGCTGAGGCTGCCCCAAATTTAGAAGTTGAAGCCCAAGCAAGATGAGGAATGAAATGGGATGAAGTTCCATCCCAAACCATTCTGTGATTCTATATTCTACCTAAACCAGCTGGGATTTCTTTTGCTTGTTGTAAGTGAAAGGACCAACAATCCCTTCTATACAATGAACCCTTCTATACATTCCTAGCACAGTTTTGTCCCTGCCAAAATAATTTAACTTTTCAACCTCTTCCCAATATTCCACGTGAAGACAGAGCTGTTGCACCAGTACACTTCTTGTTTGACTGAAACTTACACATGAAAAATATGTTTTCTGCATCAGGGTAACTGGGTTTTCACCATCAAGAACAATTTTATTAAATGAAAAATATTTAAAATAATCCAAAAGGCTGCAGAAACTGATGCTACATAGAGTGCTAGGAGGTTTTAGGACCCACATATACCTGTAGATGCATCAAGTGTCACGGGGGGTTGTGCCACTAAGTTGCCACATGCCTTTTATTTCTCTTCCCCTGCCTTAGACATTATTAATTTGGCCCACAAAAAACCTATTTATTTTCTCCTTAGTTTCTACTATATCCTGCACAGTTGCATTGTGGTTTTTTGAAGGGAAAAAATCATGTCCCCCTTTTTTTGATAAATTCTAAAAATGTAAGAAAGCAAAACATTAGTATTTATAACAGGATAGCTCCCAGGCACTGCAGGAGCCATGAGGGGCACTGTTATCTTCTACATTGTGCAAACACACACTCAACCTGTCACAAAACCTTATCCAGAGCCTCTAAATGGACAATATAAATGAACAAGACAGAAGGAAATAGAGAGAAAAGCGAATTACCCAGAAATGACCTGTGCAAGGTCACACCGCAGCTGCCTGAAGTCACCGTGTGGACACAACAGAGCCACAGTGGCAGCACCACTCAAAGTTCTCATTTTTTAACCTTGAACTACAGCTCTATCCATGGGACAATGCTGCTCATCAACTACTAAATTCACTGAAAGTAGCAACATTGGGTTGTTTAGTCATTGGAAGAGAAGAGAGGAGGATTCTTGCAATTTAAATATTATTGTCCCAGTCTGACAAGTAACTGAAAAAAACAGGTGTTAAAATGCTACACAGAAGTATTAACTTTATCAGAACTCAGATTCAAAAAAGGATTTATTTCGAGCAATAAAGGACTCCTAGAGTTGTTGCCTACATTAAAACAGTCTCATGAATGGCCTTCCTTTATTCCTTATTGCACCTTCACTCACAACTCCTCTGAGCAAAAGCTCAAAAGATTGGAAAGGGTAGGAATAAAGGAAACCCAGTGGAAAACTTTCTGTCTCCAATACCTAACGGTCGAAAGAGTGAAACAGGCAAAAACTCTAAATGTGCTGCAAGAAAGCTGATAGCAATTGCAACATGAGAGCAAGCTGCAAGGGTGTGTAAAAGTGATTATTTTTATATTATTAGAATCATCACATGAGACATTCAGAGCCCTGAACTAACACATTTAAGATGAAACATAATTTCTAGCAAAATACTTTTACAAAAATGTGTGGAAATAGCCACAACAATATGGTATCAATTTGAGGTCAATCAAACAGAAAAACTGGAAACTCTTTACTATGAGAATAAAAAAAGTTACTTCAAAATAATTACTTCAAACATATTCTGCTAGTTATCTAAAGAAGAAGATGGAAGTGTGGATTATGAAACACAATTTGTTCCCTCAAGTCTATAAAAGCAAGAGGAAACAACACTGTCAGCCATGTGATTTTAGATAACACCACACAATAAACTCATTGGAAGCATTAATAGATTGAGGATGGGAAAGGAATTGTATCTGCTGTCTAGAAAAGTTACTGCAAACATAAAGATTCATTCCTAAAACAGCAACAGCAGCATTTAGAATAGGTTTTTCTGATCAACAGGATGAGCAGAGAGAGAAAGCCCTTTGTTTTGTGGAAGGTTGTAGATAAAGTTCATGTATCTGTGATGGTTTTACGTGAAAAATCCAACTTCTTAATTAGAGAAATGTCCTGCCTGATACAGTTAATTTCTAATAAATGTGGCCCATGCTTTGGAATACCCAGATCATAAATATTATCACATCAGTTTCTGAAAAAGCTTCAAACATGCCATCATTCTCTCTGACTTCAGATGTATCATGTTTCTCTTCTCAACAATACAATGGAAAATACAAATTCACATGAGAACAGAAAGGAATATATATCTATAGGGAATTTATGGTCATTATTATTTTTCCAGGTTACAGAAACTGCAGTTTAAGCCAGCTCCTATACATAATGAACTAAAATGCAAACTTGTCCTTTCCAATAAAACGGAATTCAGCTTCTTTTCCACACCGACCTTCCCCACCTTCTTTTTTTCTCAGGAAAAGCAACTTTTCAGATTGGTGTGGGTAATCTAAGCTTGTGTGTCCACGTTTTCATCCAGCTGGAGATGAATTGGGTACAGTTTGGGGGATGTCTATCCATGGTAAGTGTAAAACCCTAGAAACAATAGGTTTTGACAAGGACTTTGGGTGCAGATCTCTTTAGTGTGTTATCCAGAAAACCAGACTTTAAAGATGAAGCTTAAAAGGAATTTTTTATAAAAAACCCTGTCTCTACATCTGTTAAAAGGCACAGTGCCCAAGCCTGGGCTAAAGCAAAGTACAGAGCTTCTCAACAGCTTAAGAACTTACAACATCAGATAATTTAGTCCATCTGGAGGTACATAAATACTAGAAATTGCCAAACTATTGCTCCTAATTTGTAGTTCCTTAAATGTGAAGGTTTGTCACCTGTCAATGTAAAAATCAAGGTACTTCTAATAACAAACATGATTCTGAATATCTCAAAATCTTTAATTAGAGCCACACTGAAAAAAAAAATTGTGCATGGTATAATATCCTCTACTATTTGTGCTACTTTGTTGCATTAAATGTTCGCTCCAAGGCCCTGACATTATTCCCCACATCCATAAAGCAATGCCACATAAAAATATGAGATGGTGTCCAAAAATTTGCTGTGCTGGTACTTCCATCTTCTCAGCAATGAATACTTAGTGCAGTACATGTCCATTAGGACAAGGCTTTAAGCGTCACTTATAAGGAAACACTGATTTTGCTTCTTAATCCTCTGACCAGATTTCAAAGTCAGATCTAGCAAACAGAAATTAGATCACCTGTTATCTCTTTATCCTTTTCCTACCACAGCCTAATGACTTGTTTGCATTGTTCCCTACTGCTGGGCACCGTCTTGATTATTTCAATGATTTCTCCACAGTAATCAACACTTGTTTCCTCATCAGTGTGCTGGATGATTGGTTTCCATTTCCCAGACTAATTATTTTACATATTTCTATACCACACTCTTTACCATCTGTTGACCCAATTACCTAAATGATCCAAATCCTCCTCAGTCTGGTTGTAGTTTCTCATTATTCCTTACAAATTCCATTTCAGTGACATTTATAAACCATGAGGGCTTTTTTTTCATTCTTTCTCTGTATCAATAGATCTTAAGATTTTAATCTAGGGGGTCAGATCCCACTGGAGAATATTCCAAATCTGATGCACAGGACACTTATTGCTTCAAATGATATTAGAGATTATACTAATCAAGTTGGAGAGGGACTATTAACAAGAGGATGTGGTGACAGGACAAGGGAGAGTGGCTTCAACTAAAAGAGGGTAAGTTTAGATTAAATATTAGAAAAAATCCTTTTCTATGTGAGAGGTGAGGCCCTGGCACAGATTTCCCAGAGAAGCTGTGGATGTCTCATCCCTGGAAGTGCCCAAGACCAGGCTGGATGGGTTTTGGAGCAACCTGGGACAGTGGAAGGTGGCCCTGCCCATGGCAGGATGTGGAATGAGATGATTTTTAAGGTCCCTTCCAACTCAAACCATTCTGTGGTTCCATATATGAAACTCCTGGCTTAGTTGCAGGTTTAGGTCCAAATGTTCATTCATCTTCTCAGCCTTTTCCAAATTTCTAAGGATTTCAGAGATATTTCAGAGGTATGGAGCTATCACTGCATATATAAATCATTTTCTTCTCAGCTTTGCTGGGTTTGTCTAACACCAACAAACCACTAACCAACGGAAAGGAGGCCAACACACCACTGGCTGCTCATGTCCTCAGATGCTCCTGACAACTTGAGTTGTTTTTCTGACGTTCTGCAAGGATTTAAATTGTTCTTTCTATGCATGAAAGTGGGTTTCTGGATTATTATATCTCACATTTCATATGAGAATGGCTGTGATACCAGCTCAAGATGCTACAGGAAGCTTCAGTTAGCAGCAATGGCTTTGAATTTTGCTAGAGAAGGTACCAATTCAGTTTGTTTCTGAGAAGGAGAAGGATGGAGGAGGGTTTCTAAGAGATGCTAAAAAGCCTTTTCTCACTGTGATTTTTAAATAAGTGGGAGAAATCAGAAGGGAATGGCAGATGCACAGAGAGAGTTAAAATGCTGGAGGGTTTTTAGGGCAAGGGATTTGCAGTTTGCTCTAATTGCCTGCTTATTCCTTCATTATGGTTGAAGGGTTCTGGTAATTCACCATTATTAAATATTCAAGGTCTGGTCTGGAGGAAGCATTCTTCAGGGATTGCTCTCATCACTCCAGTGCCAGCTAAAATCGTGCTTTGTGCCTGCCCATGTGTGCAAATAAAGCTCTGCTTTTCCTGTTTTATTGACTCCCTCTACTAAAAAAGACTCCGAGCATTGTGGTAATGTGAGATTATTTAGGAAATTAGTGCTTGTGCATATTTCATGGAACTTTGCTCATATTAGCAAGAACAATGTGTTGGCTTATGGGGGGAATCGAGCAAAAATGCTCCTTCCCTTGAGCAGAACCTTCATTTGTCCATACTCCCTCCACTCCCACCATGCTTTTACTCTCTTCTACCTTCATCTTCCTCACCTACAGACCTCATAGCATGGAAAGTCCTTTCTCTTACTTCCTTGTCAATATACTGGTGAACCAGTATAAAAACACAATCATAAATTGTCGCCCTGTTCTTCTAAGTTCTTCTAAACCTTATGATGTTTACATTCTTGTAATGAAGTTTCTCACACACTTTTATGTAAATAATTATGGGTTTACATTCTTTTCTAGAAAAAGAAAAATTTGATAGACTGTTAGTTTGTCCAGTGTCATTAGAGAAGTAACAATTTCATCCTCCAATCCACTGTCACTTTTGAAAGTCTATAAATACTGGAGTCAAAAAATAAACTTCCCTTCTTCTTACCTTAGAGTTCCAGTGTCCACATCGTTTTATTCCGTGTCCTATTGCAACAATAAATTATACAGTAGTGTCAAGTCTCTTGAAGAGCAAAATTCCAGTTGTGCTGTGGAAATACTGCATTACTGGAAGGGCTCTATCAGTACCAGGACCCTGCCATAACAGGGATCAAGTATCCTTTCTCCAAGTCATCAAAACAAAGAGGCACACAAGTACCTTCTTCTACTGGGTAGGGACAAACACAGCTATAAAATGTCTGAGAAGAGTGCTTGGCTACTGCAGAGTTTTGGTAATGTTCTCACTGAGGTCTGAGTGCTGAGGTGGGAGTGAAAGAGAAAGTCATAGAGTCATAGAGTGGTCCTAGAGTCATGGAGTGGTTTGGGTTGGAAGGGATCTGAAAATCATCCAATTCCACCCCATGCCATAGGCAGGCACATCTTCCACTATCCCAGCTCCCTGGGATGAGTTTGTGACTCTGAATTGTATCCCCATTTGTCTGTTTAGCACAGAAATAAGTTCTGCACCTTTAAAACTAGATCCGAGTGAAAAAGAATTCCAGAGGAGTGGCTTCCTCCCAATTTTCCCCCAAACCAGGACACCCAATTTCCTCCAAGCCCCATCCAACCTGGCCTTGGACACTTCCAGGGATCCAGGGGCAGCCACAGCTTCTCTGGGTACCCTGTGCCAGGGCATCACTACCCTCTAAGTAAACAATTTCTTCTTAACAACTAATCTAAACTCTCTTTTAGTTTAAAGCCATTCCCCTTTTCCTGTCACTCCAGTTCCTGATGAATTGTCCCTCTCTCA